CACCGGGCAGCCGCAGGTCTCTTTCTGGTTAATTCTTGGCGCGCATCCGCTCCTGTCCTCACCATCCCTTCCTTCTGCGTAGCACTGCTCCTCTTCGCCTGGACACCGCATGTGTCGGCAGGGCGGGTTGGGCGCTTCGCTTGAGATGTCTTCCCCGTTCCATGACCCCGAAGCCCCGGACGTCCAACGTTTGCGCGGATCTCCCCTGGGGTCCGTTTTGCTCAGAGTTTCGGGGCGCATCCACCCTTGGCGACGAGGGCCTCCCAGGAGGCCCCAGGAGGGCGAAAACCACGGGCTCTCTGCCGACTCCTCTTCGCTCGCAAGACGATCGGGCTTGTCTCGCCTCGCCTCCCAGGCGGGAAAGGAGGAGGGGAAGGAGGAGGAGGAGTAGGAGGAGGAGGAGGAGGAGGAGGATGAGGAGGAAAATGAAAAGGAGGAGGAGGAGGAGGAGGAGGAGGAGGAGGAAGGGGGAGGGAGGAGGGAGGAGGGGGGAGGGAGGAGGGGGGAGGAAGGATAGTAAGGATATGTAGGCCCCTGGAGATAGGTAGAGTAGATTGATCAGATTGGAATAGTAGGGTATTCAGAACTGTACTGAAGAGATTGCGGCTCCGCGACATCGGGGCTCAACTCACCAGAAAGCTTCTTAAGCTAACTCTGGTAGCGGAGTTGGCTTCGGTCAGCTCCACGCCTTCCCCGGCCCCGCAGCGCCCGCGCGCGAGCAATCGGCGCCGCCAGGCGCCCATAGTCACCAAGACGAAGTACCTTGTGCTGACCCTCAGCACCGTCCTGCTCGGCGTCTCCGACGCCCTACGTGACCCCGCGAGCTTCAACGGCCTCGGGTTCGAGCAGCAGTACCACCAATGCGCCAAGGACAGCACCTACGACTTCGAGTGCGTCTGCTACACGAGTTTCACCCTCCGCGACGACTTTCGAGAGAGTTCAGAATACCCGACGCACGAGTACGAACGCGACACGATCGGCAGATACGATGACACTGAGAAAGGAGGAGGTATCGGCTTAGAAGATTTCACTAAGAACGTTCCTCCGGGTTGGAAACCAAATGTACGAGGCTATACGTTTCGGAGATACATGCAAAATTTGCGACTCTGGTGGAGGATTACAGATGAAGAGAATGAGGAACGCATCGGCCCTTTGGTTGTGAGCAGGTTGAAGGGCCCGCCGTTCGCCCAGGCCATGAACTACACGATCACACGACGAGGTATTACGTATCGAGGCGACGAGGCCATGGCACTCCCAGCAGTACCAGCAGATGCAGCAGCAGGCACACCAGAGGAACACAGCGGTATTAGACAGTTCCTGGACAAGTTGAAGACAGTATACGAGCTGCACGACCAGGATCGTGTGGGCATGGTACTGGACGCTTACTTCGACTCCAGGAGACTCAACAGTGAGCTCACGAACTGGATCGCGCAGTATGAGATGGCCTACGACGACGCCTGCGAAGAAGGTGGACTAGGCAATTCGCACTTTCTTCTCAAGAACTCTAATCTAAGCGAGAAGCGCATCGATGACATCAAACTGCACGTTGGTGGGGACCTGGCCCAATATCAAGCCATACAAGGACTGCTTATGCGCTTGGGAAAGCAAGATCCATCGCAGCATCATCAGGATTGGGCGCCCTACACGGATCAGAATGGCCACGAGTACGATCTCACCGGATATTACGAAATATGGTACGAGGCCTGCGACGTGACAGACTACGAATGGGGCCGGACAGAGGACGAAGGATGGAATGCCACACTTGATGGTGAATGGTACTATATGGTAGATGATGACACATGGTTACAGTATGATCAGGATGGCGAATGTTTGGAAGAACTCACGATTGATGAATATGCAACCTACTTCGGCAGCGGCAATAAAGGCAAGCACAGAGGCAAGGGCTACGGCGGCGGAAAAGGATATCGACGCAGTAGCAAAGGTAATAACAGAGGCAAAGGCAAGCGAAAAGGCAAGAAGTTCGTTCCCAACTACGGTGGTCGAGGCAATCAAGGAGGCGCTCAGAGCGGTTGCAGTACTTGTGGCAGCAAGTGGCATCGCAGTGAACAGTGTCCGACAAATGGACAAGCACAGCCCGCTGCAGCAGCGCCTCATCAACCTTCCGAGGCACGTGGTCGAGGCAAGGCCAGAAGTCGACACTATGCCAATCAGGAATCAGCTGGATCTGGCTCTTCAGTCAATGGTTTCAGTTATCACAGTACATCGGCGGCGAGTTGGCATCACCTTCCCGACATGGATTTGAACTCACCAGTTCCCGCCGAAGGAGGATTGACTGGAACAGCTACATCGATGGTCAGCACAATTCCAGTCCATCACGCCATTCCTGAAGACGACGAGACTGAGAAGAATACGACGGAACCAGCACAGCAACATCACGATGAACACTGCGACTTACTCGATCAGGAAGCCGATCTACATGACCATCATGGGTACAATGCAAGTGGTGAGAACTATAACGGTTTCGGTTCTACACTCGGGTCTCGAACGACAAAGGGCAGAGACAAGGGCACGCCCTCTACTGCCTCATCATGGAAGCGAGACCCGAAGATTGAAAAGCCTCACCTCAGCTTCAATTCACCAGTACCTTCCAACGGACCGTCCTTCTCATCCACGACAGCAGCCTCATCAGAAGGCTCTACGATGGCAGAAAGGATTGCACAGCAGTGCGGATCACCATCCTTCTCATCACCTTTTACGGCATCGACCACGAGCACGGCCAATAATCATATGGAAGAACCTGCACTGGAAATGGGAGCACCGACGAGGACCCTTACGATGGCAAAGAAGTTACGGGCGCAGTACTCAATGAACCTACTCTAATCCAAGATCGTACATGCATATGCCGAGAACGACCACGCCATCTACATCACCATTCAAGGTAAACCTCGCTTGGGTATGATTGTGGACCCGGGTGCGAGCGATGGGTCCCTTGGCACCGAGACTCTACGCGAGTGGGTTCAGTATGTTTACGGCCCGTATCAGTGCGGCAGATCAGATGCATCATTCGCAGGTATCAGCGGCGAAGCAGATCCATCATGCGGCGAATTTATCGGCAAGGTCGGCGTTTGTGGATTACCAGCGAACACGACATATCGTGGCGTCTCATTGGAGGCAATGGTTCACGATCCCCGGCGCTATTATCCAACGCCACGTTGTTAGCACAGAGATCGATCATATACGAAAGCGTTTTCTCTAATGGAGATGGTATCCTAGCGCTGCTACCACCTGGGCAGAGGGCATATGTCACGAGACTATACCTCACGGGCTCCAAGCATCTGTTCCTGCCGATTGACAACTTCCAAGAAGAGACGATCACCGAGCGCACAGACCTCATCAACAGGGTCGAGCATCGCACCGCGGAACTTCTTCACAATTGCCCCGCGACACCGACACGAAGTTCTGGGATCTTTTTTACGTACTGAGAGAACTTGGTCTGGCAATGGCACCTCGACACCTGCGCAAATGGACCCTGCAGATGATACTATTCCCATCGAGGCCCCTAAGAAGCAGGATCAGTGTAAGGATAAGGAAACTGAAAAGGACTCTAAGATCTACTTGAAAGCTGAGGTTGCATCGGAGATATTGCAGTCTGCGACACCAGCGACCAAGACAGTATGCATGAGCTATCATCGCAGCGACGCCAAATCGTTTTACGAGCACTGGAAGCAGTTCAAGGCACCGAGATGCCACAGTGGTCTCTGGCCAGACAACTTCACGACGAGCGAGCAAAAGCAGATGGACGCAGAGTGCCGAGCACTGCCAGAGCTGTTCTATCATCGCTCAAGACTGCCCATGATCACGCCCAACAGCGTGGACGATCTTATCATGCACATGGACACCTTCCAGCAGGCAATGATGCCACTTCTCTTGGAAAGATGTTCTGGCACTGGGAGCGCGTCCACAGAGGTTTACGCCAATCAATGCATCGCACTACCACCAATTGACTGCAGATAAGGCTGGGGTCTGCATCGAGAAGATCATCGCAATGCTCTGAAACAACTTGTGCAAACGTTTCGTCCACGACACACACTATGCGAATTCTACTGCAGACCCTGGTCGCAGTCTACGAATCGCGCAGATCCAAGTGAGTTGGAACAGCGACGACAAGCGGAACGACCCATGCTGTATTGGTTATGTATGACCTCTTTCCAGACTTCCTGCGTCGCGACGGCAATTTTATCGTCGAGAATCCGTGGCGTTCTCACATCTGGACAGAATCCCCATTGAAGGACATGGACAAGCTGGTTCAGGAATATCGAAGAACGCTACACGACAACACTACCGACCAATGCCGTCATGGAGCACGTGACGAAGAACAGGACCTGCCCATCAGGAAGCGCACGATGTTCAGAAGCCCGGCAAGGCTTCGTGACACCAGTAAGTACTGCAATTGCGCGACCCAGCATGCCAATCTGCAGATGAACGACTCCAACGGTCTCAAGAGAACGGCAAAAGCGGCACGATATCCCATTATGCTGTGCAAGGCCTTAACGCGCGGCATGATTCGACACTTACATCAGGCTCCAAGGCTTGTTCATTGGACGTGCCCAAGATGCAAGCGTGGACGTGCTGCTGAAGTACCGCATACGAGAGTACATGGCTGCAGGTTCAAGCCCGCTGAACCTCCAGCAGCTCCAGCAGCAGTCCCAGCTCCAGCAGCTCCAGCAGCAGTCCCAGCTCCAGCAGCTCCAGCAGCAGTCCCAGTTCCAGCAGTTCCACCAGCAGTACCAATTCCTGATCCACTGGAGGCACCTCCGGGACTTGAAGCACCTGCGGCAGTGGCAGCGGCGCCCAACGGTGAGGACGCCAAGGACGAGTCGGATATACCACCTCCATCGATTCAACTGGATCCGACAGCAGTACTACCACCTCGACGACGTCTCAGGGGCAAACAACAACGCGATGACCACAAATTTCAGGAACCGAAAGTATTACAGCCCAACTTCGATCTCACCAAGTTCGCTCAGCGAATGCGCGAGGCACCGAACGACGCGGAGCGCATGAAGCTCTTGGTTGGACTACACCAGAAGTTCTTTCATGCTGTAGACGCTGTTTGCGAGCGACTTTGCAAAGCACTTGGATTACCTCCGACGATTCTGAAGTTATGCCAAGGCATCATGCAGCACTGCGAAGTTTGCCGAGACAGGATGAGAGTCATGAGCAGTCCGCTCATCAAAGGCACGTTGGCAACCCACTTCAACCAGCGCGTGCAGAACGATCTTTTCTTCCTCTTCGAAAAGGTATGGCTTCTATGTATCGATGAATGCTTACGCTTTCGGCTGGCTGGACGTCTCAACAGCAAGACGCCCGCAGACATTCGGAAGGGCTACGTGCAGCTATGGACTAGGCTCTTTGGACCGATGGAGACGCTGGTGATCGATCAGGAAGGAGGACTTACAGGCGACATGGCTTCTCTTTTCTGTGATCGCTACACCGGGACTCGCGAGTTCGGAGGCACGGCAGCACATGCCCACACGGGCTTGGCTGAGCGTGCCATCTCTTTGGTCAAAGCAGTGGCTCTCAAGACCAAGGCCGACTGTTCGAAGCAAGGTATCACATATTTGAGTGACGACGACATTGTAGCCGAGGCTGCCATGGTTGGTAACTTGACTCTGAACTACGGCGGCTCGGTTCCAGCGCAAGGATTGTTTGGATACATGCCCAAGGATGCCTGCGATCCTGAATCCAAGACACTCACCGGCACCAGCAGCATCCTGGAGCAGGTACCATACTATACAGAGGCACACCTACGACTGCGTCTCATTGCGAAGGCGAATATGTTGCAAGCTGTTGTTGAAGAGCGACTCGCCCGAGCTACCAACACGAGGCAGCAATCGCATGACGCGAAGTGGCTCGAAACCGTGAAGCCACACGACAAAGTCGACATTTGTAGAGCACCAGAACGCAAGGGCGCCGACGGATGGAGAGGACCAGCAGATTTCATTTCACTGTCCAAGGATGTCGGCACGGCCATTGTGGTGCATCAAGGACAGCCTTTTATAGTACCTACGCGACATCTTCGACCACGTCAACTATGCTATCAGGTTCTGGGCTTTCACGTGCAGTCGAATGACATCTTCCTAGACAACGCAGACACGCCAGGTGCACTGGCCCAACTACTGGAAACTGTTGAGAGTTGCACTCCAGGTGTGTTACACCGCATGGACGAAGTTCCGGACGATCACGATAAGCTGATCTTGGAACCACGTGACCTACATGATGATCCTCCCATGTTCTGGTTATCCATACTGAACTTTGCGAACTCCGTCTTCGGTCTCTCTCACGTGGATGCTATCTTTTTTGGTGCGGGTTTCCGACTAGTTCACAGTCAACGACCACTCCGATACGGTCTGCCCATTGCGTGGCATCTGGAACGACGACAGCACTACATCAGTCGAGAGCTCAACCTCCACGGCACCAACAACATTCAGAGAATCATCGGCACGAGTTGGTATAACCACTACTTCCTCATTTTGGCATTGAAGGACTCACCACTTCCTCATGAGGAATATCGACCGATTGATGACCTTGATATTTCTAGTTTAGCAATCATCGAGGATTACTCAGGCAACTCACCACGGCGAACCATTCAGCGACCCAGCGGCAATGCGACGTCAGCACCGACGCCCACAGCACCAATGTCTACGACAAACGACGACTTACCATCATTCAACACAGCCATCGCAGACATGGAGGACAACCTTACTACTGAACTTGAACGACTGATCAAGACGCCTGAGCAGACACCTACACGGCGACCTGCACTGAAAGACACCAGTAGAGAGACAGCACCACTGACACCAGATTACAGACGAGTGAGGATCGTCGAGGCCCCACTGATCGACCTGGACACGAGGCATGACGTACTTTCACCACCTCTTAGGCGTGAGGAACCTGAACGGCAAGCACCTGCATTACCATTGGCACCTATGTATCCTCATCGGCACCCATAAGTAGCATCAACCTGGACATACCATTCGTACCAAGACCTGCTCATCAGATGCCTCCTACACCCATGCAACCTACGGCCCTCAGGCCGGACACACCTGATCAGAGCATGCCTTTACTAGATAGTCATGATCAATCAGATCAGAACATGCCGCCACCAGACAGTCATGGCCAATTCGATCAGAGCATGCAACAAGCTGCAGTATCGGACTTTGATCTCACAATGGACATGGAAAGCAATCAACCTGATCGGAGCATGCAAAAGGCAACAGGTACAGACATCGACCTCACCATGGAAATGGAAGGGATCATGGAGGAGACCGATCGACAACAACCGCAAACCACTACGGATGGGCTGGCACCGAGCGCAAGTGATGACTTCTTGCGTGTGGATTCTCGCCAGGATCATGGCACCACTAACATACTCCCGCATGCAGCACCAGAAGAAGAAGACCAGCATGATGGCTCCAGTGACTTCGTCAAGGAACTGGAGAAGCTCATTGAAGATGACGAATGTGACGAACGACGGGCAGCAGACAAGCGTGCTATCGACACTTCTGGAAGCATGGAACCAATGCACAAGATAACTAGACACAAGGAGACAGGCGATGAACCACTACCTCTAGATCAAGTATCACAGGATCACGACGGCGATGCAGGCCAACTCGTGGAAGCGGCTTCGCCATCATATACAATGCCCATCGAGGATTACTACGCGCACTTTCTCACACTGAAGGCCTATTCCTCTTGTGCATCGCAGCGATCAGATCTTCTACAACTATACCAGGACGCCAGTCACATGAACGACGACATTGAGGAATACATGACTCACTCGACAACTACATTATGCTCTACACTCCCATGGAAGCGATCAGACAGCATGTTCATCGTGGAGTGTCCAGGTGATTCAGAGTGTTTCCATTATGTCATTCTCGAGGATACCTGCATACCTGTCTACGCATCACAGGCTGAACAACTCATCGCTGACGAAGACTTTGCAAGATTATGGGATATCATCGAGCCCGCAGATCGCAAGGATATTTCCTCCGTCGTTCAGCATGGTTGTTTCCGACCTCGTCTTAGATCGGAATGTGCCACGGCTAATTTCATTGACTCAGTTTGGGTGCGCAGATGGATGTGGACAGAGAAATGGGTACTACGTTCCCGTCTATGCGGTCGCGGCTTCAAGGACAACCAGAAGTACGCAGTAGACCGACACAGTTTCACAGCAGCCCGAGTCAGTCAGCGTATGATGATATCATTGGCCCAGGCGCACGACAACTTTCAAGTGGAATCATGGACATATCATCCGCATTCCTTGAAAGGCTGAAGTTCGACGAACTGACGCGTAACTCCAAGAAGCTCGACCTGGACATCCGCGAGAAGAGGAGCGTGTATATTATGCCACCAGCCAACGTATGGCGACACCTTCGAGATCTCTCCAAACTCTTCGATACTCCAGACTCGGACGCACACCTCTACGTCCTGGAGTGCATCAAGCCTGTACGGGGCCTGGTGGGCGCGCCATTACTCTGGCAAGCGGCATTTACTCTGTACGTGTGCGATGACATGTGCGGAGCTAAAGCTTTATTGGACGAGAGCTGCTTCAGTTGGCACTCAGGCGAGAATCTCGTCATGGCCTCGACACTTCATGTCGACGACTTGCTACCTGTTGGTCGGCAAGAATGGCTAGATTGGGGGCGTGCACTCATGGAGAAGAAGTTCGGCGAGACCACGACGAAGAAGCTCCCTTTCACTCACCTGGGTTGTGATTGCAGCAGAATGCCCAATGGATGCATCTTTATCAGCCAGGACGCCACTTTGGACACCATCAAGGCTCCAGAACTGACGAAGCAACGACTACTTCAAGACCATGAATTTAGCACTAAGGAGGAGATGCACGGTTATCGCTCTCGATGGTGCCAGCTCTTGCATCTATTGTAAACCAGATGGGACGTCAGCGCTGCTACCACGCAGCTCCAGTCTAAGCACACGAAGCCGACTATTGCAGACATGAAGGCCCTCATGCTCACACTGGATCGAGCTAAACGTAACCGACAAGGTATTTTTTTATTATTATATATATATATTATAATTATCGACTGCGTGGACCTTTAAAGTTAACGTCAATAACATATGCAAGTCATGGATCTAAGGTCACCAGCTATGCTCATCAGGCTCAAGGATTGTTCTTATGCGAGGACAAGCCTTACACGACGGACAAGAACGGGCTGCTCGATCCGAGCGACTACGTGAGCTTCTTATCCAAGGCTCACCCGAAGGCAAGAGGATCAACTACTCGACGTCGCACGCAGAGGCCGTGTCAGCAGTGAGAGGTTCTCAGAACGCACAGTATGTAGCACTACGATTCACCGATATATTAATGAAACCATGGATTCAGAGGACATCTACGACGTCGTTGTCAGGTCTTATGAACTTACAAGAGCAAGGGCTAACAGTTATGCCTGTTGAAATGGGAACCGACTGTTTTGACTTATACCAGTTGATTGTGGGACACAAGGGCATCCCAGCAGATAAGACGCAGAGATTGTGTATTCTATCGCTACGAGAGGACAGAATCAGTGGACGTATGATGAGAGTATTTCACCTACCGACGGATCTAATGATAATGGATGGACTTACCAAGGTTGGCACATTCCCAAAGTTGATGCAGTACCTCTCTACCGGTATTATTGATCTCACGAGAACAACGACTACCTCCAACAACAAGAAGCAGAACGAGAAACCGATTGTCATCAGGAACAGCAGCGTGAAGATGAATTTCCAGGAGATCGACCTGATTGAGATGTCTGAAGCACCGCTCTGTGCCCTCTCTTTTTCACCTATCCTCAATAAGCAGGATCAGAGTAAGGATATGTAGGCCCCTGGAGATAGGTAGAGTAGATTGATCAGATTGGAACAGTAGGGTATTCAGAGCTGTACTGAAGAGATTGCGGCTCCGCGACATCGGGGCTCAAGTCACCAGAAAGCTTCTTAAGCTAACTAGGATGGGGAGGGAGGAAGGAGGGAGGAGGGAGGAGGGAGGAGGGAGAAGGGAGGAGGGGGGAGGGAGGAGGGAGGCGGGAGGAGGGAGGAGGGGGGAGGGAGGAGGGTCCTGGCCCCTCCCAGGAGAGCATGTCTGAGGCACTGCGGTGCCACCCGCCCACGCACCTCGCAGGTCCGGGCGCAGCACGAGACTGGGTGCCGTTCCGTTCCGGTCGGGGGTTTGGGGGCTCAGCGCTGGTGTTGCGGGTTTCGGGGTTTAGGGGGATTTCAGTGCTCGGTGCGCGCAGGCGGTAGTTTGGAAAGGCGATTGGTTGACGCCGTTAGTTCCAGAGTTGGCGTTTGGATTTCCGGGTGTTCGGGAGCGGCTTCGGGAGTGTTCGCCTGACGGGCCGGGCTCTGTTCGCCTGACGGGCCGGGCTGTTCCTATGAGCCGTTCGTGGGACGGACCGCCGGCGTTCGCCTGACGGGCCGGGCTGTTCCGACTGCGGGCGTCTCCCGGCAGAGGACACGCAGGACCATTGTTGAACCTCCGACCCGTGCCACCCTTCAGGTGTTCATGCGGCGGCGCTTGGCGCGGTATGATATGAACTTATTCGATCGTGTCCGCGCTGACAGTGCGCTGCGGGTGTTACCGTCTTTGAGTTTTCACCTCCCGGCGCGGGCGAGGGCCGCAGTCCCGCGCGCATGGTGGAATCACGCGCGCCGGCGATTTCAAGAGCAAGGTCGATGCATCTTCGGGTGCCGTCGCGAGGACAGCACGGAACACTACGCGCGCTGCCCAGTCGTCCGCGAGTTTGGCGCCTGCTTCCTTCACCTCGACGCGCCGGTAGGCGTAGGGTGCAATGGATGATTTCCTGATATTAGTGCCACGCTGTTCCACGGGAGTTCGCGATTAGCTGGTGAGCAAGAGCATCCGCCTCGCGGCCGTGAACATTGCACATTGCCGTCGCAGGCACTCTCCAGGAGGCGTCGGTCCGCTTGCTTGGCCAGCTCTTGCCCATACGGCCAAGGATATTGTTCGCGGACATGGCGCTGCGACGGCTTGCGTCGCACTCGCCTGGGCTCCGATGCAGTAGTCCCTCTCTCCTCCTCTTGCTTTTCCAGTTGCTTCCACCGCTGCTGTTGTCTACGCTTACTATCGTTACTGCATAACCGCACAAGGTCGGCCAGTGAGCGCTGTGCCTCACCTGGTGCCGTGGGGATTAGCTTGTGTGGGATATCGCTGGCCGATTGGGCCCTGTTTGTTGTTTGTGTACTTGCCTCTCCCGCTCCTCCTCCTCCTCCTCCTCCTCCTCCATCTCCTCCTCCTCCTCCTCCTCCTCCTCCTCCTTCGTGGCACCCTTGGCCGCGACATGCTCCCGGCAGCAGCTGACAACAGCAGCTCTCTCGCGGACATCCGATCCGATCCGATCCTTCTCCTCCTCGTCTTCCCCCTCGCGTTGCCAATGTTCTGCGCTGGTACCGCAGTGGTCATGCGGGCGCCCGGACTGACAAGCAGTCGGGCGATGGCATCCGCGGCCAATGATTTCCTTCTTCTTCCTCTTCCTCCTCCTGCTCCTCTTCCTTCGTGACCCCGAATCGGTGCAAGATTTTTTGTGTTGTTGTTATTGTTTTCCCCTTCCCCCCCCGCCCGCCGGAAACCGTGACAGGCGCAGGTTGTTCCCCCCCCAAAAAATGTGGTAGTTGTGGTTGTGGTTGAGGTTGTTGTTGTTCATGTTATGATCATCGGTGTTTTTTGTGTGTGCGATTTTTTTGTGGTGGTTGTTGTTGTTGTCGTTGTTGTTGTGGTTGTTGTTGTCGTGGTTGGTGATGATGCTGCTGCTGTTGTTGTTGTTGTGGTGGTGGTGGTGGTTGTTGCTGTTGCTGTTGCTGTTGCTGTTGTTCCTGCTGTCGTCATTGTCGTCGTGTTCTTAGTTACCGTCTTGTCATTGTTCCTCCTGTTCGTCTTACTCTTCTGATGGGTTGCACTCATTCTCGTTCTCAAGTCGTCCCTTTGCCTTACGATGGTGGCGTTCGTTAAGGAATGTGCCCATGATGCCTCACATCCTGCAGGACTTCTTATCTTACGAGGGATTCGGTGATACCCATGGCCAAGCCTCAATTAGTTAGCCTGGATTCCTTATCCAATTGTTCCATATCCAATGCCCCCCACCGTGCCCTTATTCCCACATCTTATTCGCTTCCCCCATGCCCATGCGTGCTGCTCTTCCTGGTCCCCCCCCTCCGTGCAGTGTGGCTGCTACCCTCCTCCATCCGCGTCCTCGTGCCACCCCCTCCGTCGGAGCCAGAGAACGGCTCTGCCCACCGTGTTCTTAATCCACGGATTCGGTTCGCACCAGTCAGCTACAGCGCTGGCATCAGCGCGTGCGAGAAGGGCGAGCGGTGGCAGTGGGCTCTGGCGCTGCTAAGCGAGATGCAGGAGACGATATTGAAACCCGACGTTACCTCTCGTACATGGTAGCGCCCCCTGCGTGCGAGAAAGGGATGTGCACCGAGTGGCGGTTCTGCCCCCCGCGGCATTTTCGGAGGCCCTTCGAGAGTCTTATGAGCGCGAAAAAGGGTGCCTGGGTGCCACCAGCTGCTAGCCAGGTGGTCGCAGGGCCCACGATAGCCCTCCAGAGGGCCCGAAATGGCCGAAGGTGGCAGCAAGAGCAGCCCGAAATGGCCCCAAGAGGCTCACAAGAGGGCCCACGAGGCTTCCTGAGACGTTCCAGGAAGTCTCCGAGAGGACCAGGAGTAGAATCATTAATTATCCGGAGTTTGTTCTGGAATTTCGGCCTTCTCACATGCGCAGGTTTCCGCCAGCCCAAGAGGACCCAAGGGGGTTTTTTGATGGCCCTGAGACGGCCCAAGTCCATGATATGTGCCACTAGGCGGGCCCAGAAAACCAAGATGGCCCCGGGGCCCCCAAGACGGCCCTAGAGGATTCACTGTGGTCACCAAGAGGCGCCAAGCAAGCTCAGGACGGCCCCGTGGGACCCTCAGACGGCTCTAGGCGGCCTCGAGACGGCCCAAGAAGCCCCTAAGACGCCTCCACAAAGCCCCCTGGACGCCTGCCCGAGGCCCCCAAGATGTGCCAAGAGGTCCCCACAGGGTCCCCAAGAGCCCCCAAGAGGCACCCATTGTGCCCCAAGAACGCTTCGAAGAGGCTCCCTAGAGGCCTACCCCCAGAGACATCCGATGGCAGCGCCCTCATACGGTCCAACTGCTCTGCAAGAGGTCCCCACGATGGCCTAACTTGCTTCCACGACGCGCCAGAGCCCCCCAGGGGAACCCGGTGTATTTCTCCCCCGGCTGGCCTGCAAGATGGCCCGAAGGCGGCCGCAAGATGTGTCGAGGCCGCCCTACAATGGCCCCAATGCGCTCCCACACGGCCCCAGGCCCCCGAGGGTGCACCGTGATGCTCCACGGGACCCCGGCATGGCCGCAAGCAGCGCGAACGCAGGTCCCCACGAGAGCCCAAACATGTCCCAGGGCACTCCCAAGAGTGGCTCCTTCGCCACCGTTCCAAGCCCAACAAGAGTCCGCCCCGCATGGCGGCGGCGGACGGTGACGACGGCCGAGCCCAATTTCAACAGCAACCGCTTCCACCCGACGGTGGTGCCAGCGTTTCCGCCATCTCCTTACGCGCCATCATTGGTGTGGACAGAATCCACGAGTCAGCCCGAGTCAGAGGTTCCCGAGAGACATCCCGAGAGGCCTGCCCGCATGAGGCCCCAGGAGACCCCCAAAGAGGTCCCTCCCCCTCCTGCCTCTTCGCTCCGCCGCGCTCCCCCTCCTCCCTCCTCGCCCTTCTCTTCTCGGCCGTCGCTCCCCACTTCTCGCACCTCGCTCTTCTCTGATCGCTCCTCGCTTCTCCCCCCTCCCTCCTCGATCTCCTCCATCTTGACTCTTTGACCCACTCCCAGCAGCAGACGGCAGCAGCACGCAGCACGAAGCACAGGCAGCGGCAGCGGCAACACACAGCAACACCAAGTAGCAACAGGCAGCGGGCAGCAGCACGCAACAGGCATAAGTGGCCATGAGCAGCACCCCGCAGCCACAACCAGCATCTACACGCTTCAGCGGCAAACACTTACTCTTACCAGCAGCACGCAACTGCGGCAGCAAGCAGCACAACGCAGTATGATGCTGAATGAGAGGGTCAAGCCCCACGTTATCATTTCAGCCTTTCGGCATCATGCCTACAATGATTTGCCAGTTCGTCCATATTTCGTGGACTTAGTCCACGGGTCAGCCCTAGTCAGCTACAGTGCCGGAATCAGCGCGTGCGAGAAAGGCAATCAGTGGCAGGAGGCTCTGTTTCTGCTCAGCGATATGCGGGAGGTGAAATTGGAGCCAGACGTTATCGGCTACACCGCTGTCATCAGCGCCTGTGAGAAATCCAGTTGTCTTGGCCCCGGAGGTCGCTGGCCCCTCCTTGAACCCAGCCAGGTGACACTCTTGAATGCTGCATGATATGTCTTATATTGTGATGCCTTCGCGGTGTATCAGTGGAGGTTTTGTCCCCTCTTGAGGTTCGGATGCAGATGCGACGGAGACGGCTGTGCCGCTACTAAGTCTCATGGAGATGCGGGATGCGAAGCTGTAAACCAAGGTAATCAGCGGCAGCTCCAGGATCGGCGAGCACGAGAAGGACTACCAGTGGCTGCGGACTTCGGCGCCGGTCAGCGAGATGTGGGATGGATGCGACGTCGGAGCCCGATGTCATCTAGCGGCGCGTGCGAGCAAAAGCGCCAGGCATTGGCCTGGCTTGCTCTGACGGGCCACCAAGGGTCCCACGAGGCCCTCAAGAAATCCTCCGTTCCACGCAGGAGCGCTTCGATAGGTACCACGAGTTGGTGGAATATGAACGGCAGGAGGGGCAGGAGCAATAATAATCTGCAAGCAGCACCAACAGTAGCAATCAGGAACAGCATGGCAGGACAAGAAAAGAGAGGCAGGACCAACGCACAAGCCAGCAGAAAGAGGAGTGGTAAGCAAACGACTGCGACCGAGATCCCCAGGAATCCTGACAGGAGAGAGGCTCTCTTCCCCCGCCTTCCTATCTTCTCGTTTCCGCTGCAGTCCCCTTCCCTTGAAGGCAAAAACGATGAACACCCGCTTCGCTTGCAAATCCATGGGTCGCCCTAGCCACCATCGGCTACAGCGCTGGGGTTGGCGCGTGCGAGAAGGGCAAGCAGTGCCAGCGGGCTCCAGCACTGCCGATCGAGACGTGGGAGGCGAAGCTGCAGCCAGGCGCCCTCCTTCGCCTTCGCTGAGGACTTGACCGCGCCAGACGGCCCCATGCGGCTCTGCAGGGCTCCAGTCTGGCCGAGGCAGCCTCCAGGACGAGCCCAGCACAGGCCAGAACGCCAAAATTGCGCCGAGGTGACCCGAAGACGCTGCAATCTAGTTCTGCGCAGGGCTGCGCAGCGGCGAATTTCACTAAATCTCGGGAGGTTTTCAGAACAACAGTTTTCCAGACGACAGCGACACATGCCCCAGAGACTCTCCAGGGAGCCTCTTAGGCTTGCAGGAGCCCCCCCCTGGATGGCCAAGGTCGCCCCCAATATGGGCCAATATGCTCCCGACCGGCAATTGCTACCCCACCTGCTGCGCCGATGTGATTCTGGAACGTTTTCATGTCGATGCTTGCCCCAGTTGCTGACTTTACGTGCACGTGCTTCGACTTGGGGTGACGCTTCGCCCCCTCCGTTTTCCTCCTCCTCCTCACCGAACATCGGCGGCGCGCCAGGGGGGCGAAGCGAGAAAGGTCGGGTCTTCTCAGAAGGCTCGGAAGCCCCCCGACCTTCTGAGAAGCTTTCTACCCTCGAAGACGCAGAAAACTTCTCAGAAGGCGCGAGGCCTTCTGAGAAGTCCGCCGCCTTCTGAGAAGGCCTTCTCCTTCTGATTGCCCCCCTCGCTCGCCGCCAATCCTCCTCGCCGAAAAATCGCGCGGGGGTGGCGGAAGCTAGCATCCGAAACGGCTTCCAAGCGGCCCGACACCGCGCGATGGCCCCGAGAGCCCCGCAGAGACCGCCCGCCTCGCGGCGCGCCGCCGACGCCGCCCTGGCGCGTCGGCCTCCGCTTGCCCCCATCCCGGGCCGAGGGCCGCCGCGGCAGCGTGCCGCCCCCCCCCCCCCCCCCCTCCGTGGCCGCTTGCTGCGGCTGCCGCCCGCCCCGCTAGAGTGAGCCAGAGCTCGGGCCAAGGCGGATGCGAAGGGTGGTTCTGCCGAGGATGAGGATGAAGGTGGCGGTGGTGGTGGTGGTGGTGGTGGTGGTGGTGATGCTGGCGATGGTGGTGGTAAAGGTGACGACGGTGACGATGGTGACGGTGGTGGTGGTGACGACGACGACGATGACGACGACGGTGATATTGTTGTTGATGATGATGCTGCTGATGATGACCATGATGATGACGATGAGGCTAATGATGATGACGATGATGAGGAGGAGGAGGCTGATGATGATGCTGCTGATGCTGATGCTGATGCTGATGATGATGCTGATGATGCTGATGTTGGTGGAGGTGATGATGACGATGATGACGGTGATGTTGGTGTTGGTGGTGGTTGCGATAATGGTTACGAAGAAGTTGACGATGATGCTGCTGCTGCTGCTGCTGATGATGATGATGATGATGATGATGCTGACGATGATTATGATAATGCTGATGATGATACTGATGATGTTAATGATATCATGATGACGATGGCGATGCCGATAACGATCACGCTACTAACTTTGATATTCAGATGCTGATTCGCATTGCTATGACGATGATGATGCTGATGCTGATGCTGATGCTTATGACGATACTGCTGCTGCTGACGATGATGATGATGATGATGATGATGATGATGATGATGATGATGATGATGATGATGA